TGATGTGTCAAAAGCCTGCAAAATGACCACAAAGGCCTTTAAAAATAAAAATAAACTTTTTTACTTTACTTAGAATATAAAAACAAAATTCATGTAGTTACATACCACTGTGTAACTACATACTCAAAAAACAAAGAATTCTGTAAAATAATCAAGAACTAAAGAGTTACAGACATTTAAAGTTACAGAACCAAATCAGCTGATGACATAAACAAAGTTCATTGGATGCGAACTCAAGATAAACAGTTTTCCAAGGCTTAGGCAACATGTACAACCTTGTAGTTCAGCAACTATAACCAAGTAACCAGTTTAGACCACATATTCTGAACCCTGACCAGCCACTTGGTCATGTAACCTGTTTTGTTTATCCCCAACCTTAATAACCTTTCTGAGAGAACTCAGAATATCCTCTTACATCAGCCATCCACCAGAACAACCCTGGTCCAGTTTGAAATCAACAGGGTTGAGAATTGGCCCATTTCAATCTGGCCCAAGTAGTTTAACCTGTTCTCAGCCAGTACATATCAGAATACCTCAACCAAATCCCTCCAAAATGGATTGGAGACGAAACAAAAAGTCTCCTTTGGGCATATAGAACCCTAGCAATAACTTGGCATTGCATCATTACTTCCTGACTGGGTAGCTGTACCCGTGGTTACAGTTACAACTGTTTCAGCCTTTGGGATACTGATAACCAAGGCCTTGGGCATGGCTTCCACCCAGCCAAACAAGCCCAAAGCATCAGTGTCATCGTGCAAAATTGCACTGTAAGCCACCCTCAGGTGTGTGGCTATATACAACGGTGGGCCAGCTACGCTAACCGTAGCGTTAGCGTAGCGTAGTGTAGCGAAAAAACGCTACAATTTAGCGTAGCGTTAGCGCTTTTCTCATTTTCCGCGCTAACGCTACGCGCATGGGGAAAAAACTTGCGCTAGCGTTTAGCGTAGCGTTAGCGCGATTCCCCCCATCTGCGCTAACGCTACGCGCGCAGGGAGCAAAAATCCGCCCGCTACGCTGCGCTACAGCAGTTTTTAGCGGTTTTTAGGCGTTTTTTGCCGCTAAAAACGCTGTAGCGTAGCGTAACGCAGCGTAGCGGCGCCAGAGGCGCGCCAACACTACACCAAAAATTGGCAAGTGTTAGCGCTGCTACGGATTAGCGTAGCGCAGCGGCCGTAGCGGCGCGCTAACACTACGCAAAAAAAAAAAAAAAATGGCGCCGCTACGCTAACGCTACATGGGCCCGTAGCGTAGCGGCCCACCGCTGCTATATAAGGACTCCTTTATTGAGTGCTTAAACCTCAAAAATTCACCCACTTCACCATATATACTACTATATACCTGAAGCCAGCATTTCCAACCATTTCTCTTATAAACCTTAGCATTCCAACCACGAAACAGAGCTCCTCTTTTACTGCTACCTTCAGCCTTAAACTGTAGCCTTTGCCCTTAAAAGATCCCAGCTCCTTATTCCTTTAAAATTGGCCATTTTCTTACTTTCTGTTGCAGAAGTATTGCTCTAGAATTTGCCCAGGAATCCTCAACTCATCCAAAAGACTTTTTTGGATATCCAAAAGACTTTTTTGGATGAACTCCTTCTGATCTATTGTCTAAAAAACAATTCACTCCTCTTCAATTCCTCCTTTGGAATTCAGAGTATTGATTAAAACTCAACTCTAGGCCTCTTAACAAGTAATATTGTGAGGTTATAATTTCTTTGATTGTTTAACCAACAATCCCCTTTTTTTTAAGTTTAAATATACTTTCAACTTTAAAATTTAATATAAAATTACTAACAAAAATTTATTAGGACAGGAATAGTACTAGAACTTCCTTCTAGTTTCATATCCAGACCTTACACTATCCACATCGATGTTCTGCGAAGAGACCGCCCGTTGGATACCAGTTCAGCTCTTCTGGATCCGAGGGCTTAGCGCGGAATACTACCAGGCCCATTTTGCTACACTCTTTGAGCAGTTTGATCAGCCCTCTTTCACAACAGCAGATCGTGAGACCCTCGTTCGCCAGGCTGTAGATTTCTCACTGGCTCAGAGGGAGGGGTTCATTGCGGCTTACATGAAGGTGTTTGGAGTCACCAATCGACAACAAGCCCTTTCAAAGTTGAAGGGCTGCCATGAGCACTTTTGTGCGCAGGTCACTCGTGTGAAACGCAATTGGGCGGTTGTCCCACCGGAGCAAGAAGTATGGGAGTCCTTTTATTCTTCATTTCTCTTATGTTTATGGTGCTCGATGCTGACCCATTGGTGCAGGCCCAATTTCAAAAACTGTGCCTGGATCTTTTGCAATTCCCTGAGCCAGGAAAGCACACTCATGAGCAGAAGATTGACAAACTGCGAAGGCTCTTCCCAAAGACCAAACAATGGTTGGATTGGTGGACGATGGTTGACGTTGAGGCCATGCTATTTCCTTCAAAATGAGCAATGATAACCAACTCGGAAAACAGCACAGACAACCAATGCTCAGGCTATATTACATGATAAGGTTAGTCTTTCTCCCATCTTGATTTGTGTTTAAGTGGCTGTCGACTGACAATTTGGGCCTCAAAGTGACGGGAAAAAATGTTTGATGATTGGGATGGCTGAGCTTTTCGCTTTTGTCAAGGCACTAGAGCACGACTGGCATGCAGTCATGAGGGGAGTCTCGATTGAGTACGGCTCCAAGAACAAGACTCAACACGACCTTGCAATCTCAATTGGCTGGCAGAAGCCACCAAAGAGGAACCCAGATAACCGCAAGAAAGCCGATCAGAACGATGGACGAGCTCCTGACACAACCGCGACATTGCTTCCTAATAATGTGGGTGGTCGGCCGAGGAACTCTCCAAACCTAAACAAGGATCCGTTCTCAACGTACATCTCTTACTCGGCATCCCAAGATTAGGCCAAGAAAAACCGCTGCTGGATGGCTGCAGCACTTGAAAGCCTATATGCACTGTTCAATCCACTCTGGCTTTGTGGGACCAACGGGCTCAAAGCAGACATCTTCACCACCCTGATCAAGCATTTCAACTGATCACAAACGAGCTGGGAATTGACTCAATCAGGACACATCCGGACCTTCTTGTCGATTGGGCAGAACTCCTTGCAAACCACGGCAAACAAATTATCCCCTGGTAGTTTTAACCCAGGGGTCTTTTGTTCATGTGATCTGTTCATTGATTTGCTCATTGATCCAACATTCAGGAAACAATCAAAATCAATGTACCCACCTCGAGAGCTATTTACTGTTACCGAGGTCCGCTGTGGAAAGAAAGGCGCGCCCTAGGAGATTTCTTGCACTTCTCCGCTCCGCAACACGTCTTACTCCGATTTGTTGTCCGGGGTAGCTTGCTTGATGGTCTTGTAGGTAGGTAAAATAGCTCTCTTTTATTGTTCTTTGGTAAGAAATACTCTAACTCTAGTCTATCTCTAACAATTCTTTAGGCTAATACACAATTCACTCCTAAGTCACTCTGTTTTTCTGATATGTTCTGAGTCATAAGTCCCCCCCCTCTCTCTCCCCTCTTCTGCCTCGAACTCCACTCCTCCTAAGTATCCCACACTCCAGTCCCTTCCTGCTTCCCGCGCCGTCATCCGCTGTCACCCCCCTCGGACTCCACATGTCACCCCTCCGACGCCTGTCGGTCCAGGTACTCCTCCGGCCGCTCATAAGCAGGTCTCCCACCGCCGCTTCCGCCTCTGGTCTTCTCCAAACCCCGCTTCCGCCCCTCGGTGCTCCCCGCTCCTTGTAGCCCCTCCGCAGTATACGCTGAACCCCCGTTCCGCAGTCGGCCGTGATCCCTGGTGTCCGCCGGTGCCCGGATTCCCTGCAGTAAGCTTTTCAGAACCTTGTGCATTCGGTCTACTTTTCCCCGCTTTCCCGCGCCTCGGAAAGCTAGACTTTCCACTAATGCACCACCGCTTTCCTCAGCCTGCTTGTGTAGCGTCAGCTCCGCGTGCTTTCCGCATCAGCGCCGCAAGCATTCCACATGCCCCCAAACAAACCGGCCAAAGCTTTGGCCAGGGCGCGCTCTCACCACCACACCGCACAGCAACCTGTCAAGATCGTCCGTCGTTTGATCAGCCCCATCCTCGTGGGATCCGGGACATAACACTCTTGCGTATTCAGAAAGAAACCTTTAACGCTGCAAATATCAAACCCTCTTCAATTCAAGCGATAATTTCCAGATGGACGACTGACGGCATTGTCACAGTTTCAGGTTTATGCTGCCAGGCCTGCCCTTCAACTCAGAAGACTGACAAGCGTCACCACCTCATTGAAAAGTCTGTCTTAATGATCGAGAACAACCCCCCCCCCCTCCCCCCCAGCACTTGTACTTGTTGGTGCAAGTATCGACGATCATTGATCAAATGGCTCAGCAAACCTTCATGGCCGGACTGGATTTCCCCTTCAAGTTGGATTTCCATGGGGTTTCTTACACTCTCTTTTCTCACGGGTTCTGGAACGGGGTCCATTATTGGGCAAAGATGCTCAAGAACTTTGGCGGCATCTCAGGGGTATGGATGCACGACGATCGAGAGAATGGAGGGATTGCTTGGCTGATCAGTTCAGACCATAGCACTATCGCTGGACAGGCACGGCACACAAGCTGGGTGTTTTACTCGCGAGCTTGGATTCCAAGTGAGGAGGCATTTGTGGTTGAAAGCATTGCGAGGATCTCTCGGGACAACAATGGAGCTCAAGGTTTGATGCCGTTTGTCCATCTGGGCATGCTCCCCAACATCTCACCAATCAAACTGGGTCCGACCGATGAAAATTCACATACGTTGGCTTCAGTTGATACACAAGTACCTCAGCTTAAAAGAATGGACTCGGATGTTGCAGAGCTTGCCTCTGCTCCAATGATTTTTGACTCTTCAGCGGCTCAAACACAAACCTTAGCGAGCACAACTACTCAAACCCAACCGTTGGCTAGCACTACATTGGGAGGAGACCAACTCGGCAATCGTAAGAAAAAAGCTTCCGGGGAGTTTCAGATCCGATTGAAATTCATGAAGACTACCGACCCGCAACTGATGAGTGGGAATGCTCCAAAGATTGAAGAGCAGGACAAGGCAACTAAAGTTGAGGATCAAGCGTCGCAGATTGGCTGGAAGACAAACGAGAAGAATGTTGGGCCAGCAAAAAAATTGAACAGCCCAAAAACTAAAACGATCAAGCCCAAACGGGCGGGCAATCGAGCAAGTGCCCGCAAAGCTCAGCAGGATTGATTTGTTAGCCTGTCGTCCCCCTGGCAAACACGTGTCACGATTGGCAATCAGGATGTTCCTTTTACATATCTTTTTTTTCTTGGCTTTTATGTTTCCTTTGTAAATAGTCCAATCCCTCGTGAAATTCTCATATACCACATGCTTTTGTGAATTTTACATTGCTCATCCTTGTGAAATCGGAACCCTTGTGATGGAAGCCTCGGAAAATTCAACTTTTAAAGTCTTAGACCCCCTTCTGCGACGCTTCGCTTTTGCAAGGCATATGATTGTAAAATCTTCGTTTGTGAAACTACGTTTCCTCTTGCTAGGTGGGAAAAATACATAGAATCTTTTACAATGTTTTTTTTCCAAAGTAGACCAAAATCACCAGTCCCATGGAAAATTAAGAATAGCTTATGGCTTAAGACATTTTGCCAAGGCATCCATTTTAAAAGGCATAAGCCTTGTAAAATAAGGGTTGTAAAAATCAACCCCCCCATAAACTAAGCCAAACACTTGAAACTAGAAAACTATCCTGGGTATTTTTCTTTAAGAGATACAACATTGTAACAAACACAAGTTCGAATCAAATCAAGTCTAAGTCAATCGCTGAAAAATCAAATGGTTTTCACTCCTCAAACTCTAGCCCAAGATGCCAGTGATTTGAAGGAGATCAAGACCGTTTCAATGTATTCACTTGAACCTTTTATCCAAAGTCTTGAGTGAACAAATTTCTTGACTTTTAAGCTACAGATAAGCACCAATTTGGATCGGGTTCTTCTTCCCACTGATTCCGACTGTAGTCTTGAGATCAATTTCTCCTGGCATGACTCGCATCTCATTGAATACAAATAAGAACTCCGAGATTGCTTGGACTCATCTCACTAACTCGGTATTGAACTTCTTAAATTTGATTTTTGTTCACCTTCAAGATCAGAACAACACAACACATAACTATGGCAACAATGATGGTAGGAAACGGGTTAATATCATTGGAATCGAAGAGCACAAGAAGTATGCATGACAGGAAAAGGTACAAGATCAATCATCAAATTGAGTAAGTGCAAATGAGTGCCTGTGCCTGTATTCAGAAGTGAGGAGGCAAGATGGATAAGAAATGCCGTGAGTCCCATGAGAATTATGAAATACCAGTTGGAAAATGGTGGGCCGTCCATGGATCCTCCAGATTGTGCTATCGATACAATGACCTGAGGAGGTTTCGTCTCTTCCAAGAAAGTCATGTCCAAACTGTGCTATTGAACCAACTGTTGAGCCGAAATTGCTATTATTGGTTGATTGCTTTTGGCGGTTTTTGAGGGATAGATTGGAGGCAGCTGGCAACCCGGTTCCTGGATTGTGAATCGATGATTCATAGCCATGGAGGACGCTGTGGCGGTCCATGACAACATCATGGCTTTGAGAGGGAAAAAAAAAAAATTCTAAACTTAAATGGTGAAAATCCAGGATTTTCGAGTGAAGATCAACGGTGGGCCAGCTACGCTAACCGTAGCGTTAGCGTAGCGTAGTGTAGCGAAAAAACGCTACAATTTAGCGTAGCGTTAGCGCTTTTCTCATTTTCCGCGCTAACGCTACGCGCATGGGGAAAAAACTTGCGCTAGCGTTTAGCGTAGCGTTAGCGCGATTCCCCCCATCTGCGCTAACGCTACGCGCGCAGGGAGCAAAAATCCGCCCGCTACGCTGCGCTACAGCAGTTTTTAGCGGTTTTTAGGCGTTTTTTGCCGCTAAAAACGCTGTAGCGTAGCGTAACGCAGTGTAGCGGCGCCAGAGGCGCGCTAACACTACACCAAAAATTGGCAAGTGTTAGCGCCGCTACGGATTAGCGTAGCGCAGCGGCCGTAGCGGCGCGCTAACACTACGCAAAAAAAAAAAAAAAATGGCGCCGCTACGCTAACGCTACATGGGCCCGTAGCGTAGTGTAGCGTAGCGGCCCACCGCTGTGAAGATCCTGCAAATCCGTCCAAGCATTTTTCAAATCACAATATGTACATTGTACCACAGGGGAGTGGTTGAGACTCCAATCTTATCAAATTTTAAGGGATTACCCCGGGGCTCGGGACGGGGCAAGAGAGTCATCCCGAGGAACAAACCCCGGGAATTCCCGGTCTGCCCCGAAGCCCCGGGGCTTGCTACAATTTTTTTTTTCTGGACCAATGATGGCACTATGGCCCAGCACTACCTACCTATCTCAACCAGAAGTGCTGTGTTGGGATTGGTTTTTGTTTTTTTGACTTTGATGGCCCATTTCAACCTTTTTTTCTTTTTCAATGAAGTGCACATGTGAAAATGAAAAAAAAAAACTGTTATACGCGCCAAAACAAGGAAAAATCAGGGAAAATCCCTATAAATGGTAAACCCCGGGGTTTCGGGGTTTGGCAGATACCCATCCCAATTCCCGATAACCGGGTTTCGGTCCCGGGGCAGCCCCGAAATCCCGGCCATCGGGGTAATCCCTTATTATCAATAGGATCCCCTCAACACTCTGCATTTTGACGATTTTTCTCTTTTCTTGTGTTAGAGCCACTAATCTATGGAATGTGGAGGACTACTTCAAGTTATTAACTTATTAGTGTTTGAATACTCGGTTGATGACATTCTAATAGATTAAGTAGTCTGTGAAGCACCTAAATAGATACCATTAGTTTACATTATAGCACAAATCGAGCCTGGATGGCTTAGATCACCTCAGCAATTAGCAGAATATTGAAACAAGAGCTGGCCATCCACTATCAATCAAGCAACTGGATCTTGAGCCAACAAAATCGCAGGATTTCGAGGGGGGAGGTCACAGCATTGACTATGGTGCAAAAAAAGAAGGGACGCAAAAAAACGAATTTTAGAATTTTCTGATTCTCTCACGTTCCCCACTCATGATCATGCGACGAGAGAAAATTTGAAATTAAGGACAGTTTTGTATCGGATATATAGTAGGTATGCAAAGTTAAAGAATAAGATCGCGGTGAAGTATGATGGATTGCGAACACTAATATCATCAGCGAACATTACAAATCTTCTTTTATCAACTGTTTTTGGCCGGACATCAGAGGTTTGAGCCAATCAGGATTGGTTCTGTGATGTTTATTTTTGATAGATAGATGTTCGAGGTTATTCCTTTGTTGGAGTAGAGGGTGCGGTAGTTGAGTCGATCAAGGATTGCTTGACGTGTTCGTTCAATTCGGCTTGGATCGATTTTTTGGAGTCCAAGATCTGTCTGAGGACGTTAACTCGTTCGCCCTTACGATCATGGACGCCGGAGGGCATGACCTGGTTGCGATCGAGTTTGGCATGTTTGATTTGGGAGAGTCTGGAGCGATTGTAGGCGTTCAAGAAGTCTTGGTAGTTGTAGTTTTCGTTCAAGAAGCGTTGGTTGGGTTGCGGGGGATAGAAGAACGGTTTGTCCAAGCCCACCCAGACCTTCTTGAACGTCCGATTCTTGTCCTTGGCGATCTTGACCCCCCCTCGGACCTTGCTCTTGATCTGCCGCTCGTACCGTCCCCGGTAGATCGCCGTCCGGATGCTCGTGATCCCGAGGCCATAGATCTGTCGCAGATAGTTGAAGATGTCCGGCTTGGTCAGCTGGAGATCGCATCTGAAGATCGCCGTGAATGGGTCGCCTCGATCCGTCGAGCTTGGCCTGACTAAGCGGATCGAAATGTTGGGGAAATAGACGGGTGATTGGGCCTTGGCATACGAACTTCCTATCGGCGACCGACCCTTGTCCAACGAGCGAATCAAGATATCATCCGATGATGATTGGTCTGGTTTGATGAGCTTGTGGTCTAGTCTCTTTGGGCGATGGGGTAGCTTGTTGAAACATTCCCTGATATCCTGGTTTGGCTTTGGTTTAGGCTCTTCTCCTTCGATTCGATCTAGTGGATCGATACTAACGGTGGTCGCCAGCGTTCGCAGGCTCGGAATTGACGCTCGTTGGTGGCAGATTGATTTGATTGTCCGCAGATTGGAATGGATAGCTGGTCTCATCTTGTTCTGATTTTTTTTTTTCTGGTTTGAGATTTGATCGAGCCAATCCAACAAGTGCACGACAGCCCTGCCTGGGGAACCGGGGGCTCAACAAGCCACCCTCAATCACACTCAAACCCCTCACACCAAACCCCACACTGCACAGCCAAAACAAATTCCAAGTGCTTTATGAGTTCCTCATGTGTGGATTCATCACTCACCAGGCTCGCACCACATTAAGGGAAGAAGGACTGCAGTGATTCCGTTTCCTTGCAAAAATGATGCGGTAATACGCAGCTTGGAAAGCACACATACAACAACATAACCATCTTTACTCCTGAAACTGTTTTCTTTTCTTTCATTTCTGATGATCTATATGTTTCATTTCTTTACATAGAAATATATTTAGAGAATTCAAAATAAACAAGAATAAGGAAGGTCATACTTTATGGACTGAAAACTGTAAACGAGTCCATGGGTTGTCGAAGGGCCCAGGACTGAACAGAAGTCAAGCAGAACCCATTACGATCATTTGCAGTCAGTTTAGATTAGACGTTGAGGGAGGGGGTACATAGGGAGATCGAAGACCAAGGTCGAAATATCAGCAATGGAAAGAATCAATAATAGAGTATAGACTATATATCTGTCAGGGTTTAACTGACCGGTCTTTTTTCGTACATGATCCAATCCGACAACCTCGTGGGCAACAAGCCCATCCCATTAACCTTCCACAGTCCGAGGAGCAATAGCAACGATTGACAGGCGATGAAAGTCAGTTTCTGGGGGACCAACGACTTGGGTTTCGGAGTTTTCGGGGGTCGTTTTGAAGAAGAAGCTGGTGAGGTGGTCGAGCTCGATGGGAGGGTAGATTCGAATGGTTGGAAGGTGGTGTTGACTGAGATGCAGGCTGTGATGGCTCCCTTGATCAACATATAAACCATCATCACACTACATGTTTCCACGTGTACCGTTAGTTTTCTCTCGACAACGAATGAGGAAAGAATATCTAAGATGGAATCAAGAGAGATTCACCTGAAGATTTGCACACCAGTCCCGCTCATCCACATCATAAATCCTTGCATGGGGACTTGCTTGGCTGGCGCAAGTGCAAGATCCCAGGCTTTCTTCTGGCGCAAACTGTTCAGCTCGATCTCATCCTGTGTTTTCGAGCTCGTTGTGCCCCGGCTCGTCGACAAGTTTTGGGTGGATTGTTTGGACTGGGTCAAATTTTGCAAACACCAAATAAAATAAATCAAATCCAATGGATTGAGAAATGAAATGGGGTCAAGTCAAGTGAGAATCTGGCTGCTTTACCAATGTTTTCGATTGGGCTTCTTCTTTACATAGAGGGGGATTTGGAACACGGAATCCTAGGCTAGGTCTTGACGAATCGAATGTGTAACCGACCAACGATCGAACGATAAACCAAGATAAAAGAACAAAAAAACCAAGTCAGTATCCAAGTATGTATGATTCATTTGAGAGAACTAGTAAACGAAGACAATCGGAAGTGGTTTTTTTTTTCTTTTTCTTTTGATAGAAATTTGGGTTTGTGCGAATGGACTAATGTACCTCGATCGTAGGTCGATCAATGGCAGTTGTGGGCTTGGTGGTTTCGTTGAGCTTGACATCGTTCGGCTGGCTCGCTTTGTGGCTGGTTTTCGGAGTAAATATGTGTGGTGGATGAGGATGACGCCGTTGGTGGTTGATGAGCAGAATTGGAACTCTTGCAGATTTAGAATGCCGAACTACAAATACGCTCACGTAAACCCTACTCAACCTGCACCCATCTACTGATTGCAACCTCACAGAGTCAAGCTCTCATGAAACGCATGGAAGCTCACAACCTCCTCCCAGAATTCCATCAAGAAAAACGGGGGAAACTTTCATTGATGATCAGCTAGATTTTTAGCAACAGAAGAAATTCAAAGAATCAGAAGACACATGTTCTACACGGGGAAGACACAATTATGTATATGGGAAAGCCAATTGGCATGCAGGTAGCGCTTTTTTAGACAACTGTTTGGAAACACTTTGCACAAGGTACAACAAGAGCTGATGTGACAACTTAACATACACTCATTTCACATGTTTTGGTGGTACATAAATATGTTAATTGGACTGTCAATTAGGGACACTAGGATTCTGCGCCCTGAAGAGCAAGAAAAGAAAACTTGAGCGCGAATTCGATGGCGGATGCTCGGCTCCGTACGCTTGGGATCTATGTATTATTTATCGATCATTTCTAAGGGCTGCAACCTTCAAGTTGCATAGCGATTCTATCTGGCTTGCTGTCTCGACATAAATTGTCGTATGCTTGAGGGTCGTTCTTTTTGTTCATCAAGGTCAACGTCTATCATTCAGAAATAGTTTATTTGAAGACACCAACAGAGATTAATTGGGTCAATTGTGTGTGCTTTGGCAACAAATCGAGTGGAGATGATAAGATGTTGTGAGACTCTACTGACCCCATCCTTTGGAAGTTTGTGAGGCAAACAGCAAGTGCTGAAAGCCGCATCAGTGCCAAGACAATTGAAATATCCTGGATGTTTTTCTGTTCGATGTGCTTTGACCACTGTTGATTTAAACAAACAGGACAAATCAGTTTAACTAGAATGCTGTGAAGGTGGCCACAACAGAAATTGAGATAAGTTTATATAAGACTGACATTGCCATTTGATTGGTTTGCCTTCGGCGTCTCGCTCTATGTGTTTTCCGCAGCCTCCATCGTGCATGTGGGGGTAATTGCTGCAAGTAAAAGTGCACTTTGTTTTCTGCTCCTTTGTCAACTCGGTAGCCCCTACAAACCCGCAAGCTATCATCGACACAATGATCAATGGTTTTGAAAATAGCATGATAAGGTAGGTAAAGCAAAAAAACAAAAAAATGCCGATTGTCTTCAAACGGACAAGAGCCGGGTATTTCAGGTAGTTAAGAATGCGCTTGGAAGACCTGATAGGATTTCAGTTCTTCTAGTTGCAGTTAGCAACGTTGTCCAGGAGAGATGGAATTTTGACAAGGTCTGGATTGTGGATGAAGCTGCATGTCTGGGACCGGCAAACATCCCCCTTTATAAGACTCAATGCAGTGCTGACAGGTAATCCCGAGTTGAGGCGCCAGAAGTTCATGACTACGGGGGAAGTCATGGATGAGGTGGCTGAAACCTGCTGAAAATCAGCTACAGCCTTGTGATGTATCAACAAATCTCAGCGAGCACCATCTCATTCAAGCTTAACCAAGTCCTCCCTCCTAAATACCACTGTAGGGGGTCGCATTGCGCCGACCGGAGGGAGGGACTTCCGATGTAGCTCGTACATGCAGCCTGAGGTTTTCCAGGTTTTTGGTGGAGAATTTTTTAAAACACATCCCCCTCCCGCGTCATGTTTTCGATTGGGCTTCTTCTTTACATAGAGGGGGATTTGGAACACAGAATCCTGGGCTAGGTCTTGACAAATTGAGGTCGATCAGGGGCAGTTGGTTTTGTGGTTTCGTGGAGCTTGAACATCGTTCAGCCGGCTCTCTTTGTGGCTGGCTAGTTTTCGGAGTATGTGTGGTGGATGAGGATGTTGGGGTTGGTGGTTGATGAGCAGATTTGGACTGGTGCAGATTTTTAAATGCCCAACTATTTTCACGCCAACGTAAACCCTTTCTAAGTGCCCACACAACACAAAATGACTTCCACACTAGTTGATATAACCTCAATGTTATGTTGTGTACACAAAGCAAAAGAAACCAAAATCTATCCTATAGTCAAAGATTAAAGATATCCAAATCGGTGGCATCACTGCAACTACACTGGGCGCCCCCCCCGCCAACGAGCAGACACAAACTGGTCCCGTCATGACCATGTGATCCAATCTACTGATTGCAACCTTCACAGTCAAGCTGCTGTGAAATGCAGAACAGCTCACACATTCCTCCCAGAAATTCCATCAAGAAAGACTGGGCGGAAATTGATTGATGATCAGCTACTTATTTATGAAGCAACAGATCAAGAAATCCAAAGAATCTGAAGACACATTTTCTACACGGGGAAGACACAACTCTATCCGAAAGCCAATTGGGGTACAGGTAGCGCGTTTTTAGACAATTGTTTGAAAACACTTTACACAACGTAAAACAAGAGCTGATGATGTGGAAACTAGTAAACATGCACTGATTTCACAAGTTATGATGGTACATATTTTAATTGGATTGTCAATTAGGGACAGGATTCGGCGCCCTGAAGAGCAAGAAAGGAAACATGAGCGCAAATTTGATGGCGGATGCTCGGCTCCGTACGTTTGGGATCTATTATTTATTGATCATTTCTAAGGGCCGCAGCCTTCAACTTGCAAAGCGAGTTTATATTGCTTGGTTTGTCGACATAAATTGCTGTATGCTTGAGGGTCGTTCTTTTTGTCCATCAAGGTCAACGTCTATCATTCAGAAGTAGTTTATTTGGAGACACCAACAGGGATTTGGGTCAATTGTGTGTGATTTGGCAACAAATTGAGTTGAGAGGATAAGATGTTGTGAGACTCTACTGACCCCATGCTGTGGAAGTTTGTTAGGCAAACAGCAAGTGCTGAAAGCCATATCAGTGCCAAGACAATTGAAATATCCAGGATGGTTTTCTGTTGGATGTGCTTTGACCACTGTTGATTTAAACAAACAGGACAGATGAGTTGAACTAGAAAGCTCTGTGAAGGTGGTCACAACATAAATAGAGATAAGTTCAAGACTGACATTGCCATTTGATTGGTTTGCCTTCAGCGTCTCGCTCTATGGGTTTTCCGCAGCCTCCATCCGGCATTTGGGGGCTGCTGTTGCAAGTAAAAGTGCACTTTGTTTTCTGTTCTTCTGTTAACTCGGTAGCCATTGCAAACCCGCAAGCTATAATCGACACAATGATCAATGGTTTTGAAAATAGCATGATAAGGTGGGTAAAGAAAAAAAAAACGCCGATTGTCTTTGAACGAACAAGAGAGAATTCAGGTAGTTTAGAATACGCTTGGAAGACCTGATAGGGTTTCAGTTTGTCTTAGCAAAGCTGTTCAGGAGAGATGGACTTTTGATGAGGTCTGGGTTGTGGATGAAGCTGCATGTCTAGGGCACCGGCAAACATCTCCTTTTATAGTACTCAATGCGGTGCTGCCAGGTAATCCCGAGTTGAGGCGTCACAGTCATGACTACAAGGGGGGGGGAAGTCATGGATGAGGTGGCTGAAACCTGCTGAAAACCAGCTATAGCCACGGTATGTATCACCAAATTTCACATACCTTTGAAAGATTCCTAAGATACTGAATCCATCAACTTCCGCCAGCTGTCGCGCGAGCACCATCTCATTCAGGGTTAAGAGCATCTCTAGCGGTCCGGGGGGCAGTTGACTTGTGTTCCCCGGCCCGCGACCACATTTCACAGGGGTCGCGGGTCAGCTCCAATTGTGGGCTGGCACTGTGACGGCTGTCCAAGCTACATATCATCCACCAACCCTCGATGATCTCATCATTCCTTTTCATGTTTCTCTTGCTCGCTCCTTATCTCTCTTGCTTGTCTACATTTTTCTATCTCTTGATTTCTGCTATCTCGCTGTTTTATGCTCTGTAAAGGGTAAATAACATGAATTTGTTTGTATATAAAACAAAGAATTGAAATCCATTTGTAAAATAAAAAAATGAAATCAGGAAGCGATCGAAGACAAATAAAAAAACAATAGGAGACAACTTTTGAAGCTAGCAAGATGGGTTGTCTTCATCCTCCGTGGTTGATTGATGTTTCCAATGGTACTGGTGTGGCGACTGCTTCGGGTTTTCCTTTTTGCTTCCTTGGAGAACAGTGAGTTGGGGTTTCGATAGGTGATGTAAGGTACTTGAATTGAGTTGAAATGAGGTGATGTACTTAAATAATCGAAAACGTTGGTACTCGTTGAGTGAAATGTGGTCAGTGCGGCTGGGAGCTGACCCGCGGAAGTCAGCAGGTCATCGCGGGTTTGACTGCCCCCCGCGATGTTTTCAGGGTCGATCCGCGGGTCCGTTGGATGTTGAAAATTGAAGTCGGGCGGTCAAAGTTCGCCCCCGGTGGCCCGATCGCGGGTCCGTTGGAGATGCTCTAAGCAAGTGCACTCGTGTCTACAGCCAGGCAGTGCTTTGCAACCAGATGAATCAAACCAGATTTGGAGGCTGGAGCACCCACCCAATAATCTTCTTCTTCTTGGCAAACCAACATGATCACACCCCCTCGTTCTGTTGTTGCGCCTCCGATCGAAGATCTTACATTCTTAGCTTCTTTTTTTGAAAATTGTAAATATGTTGATTGTCTTGGTTTGCTTAGCCTTGCATCACTCCAATCGACAAACACCCTTCATAATAACCCTGCTTGACCTATGAGGCAAGTCAAAAAACAGCTCATACACATATTTGGTGAATTTCTTGAAAGATTAATTGAGGGCACATTTTGGGAAATGTTGACATCAACTCTTGGAGCCCAAAATGACAAGGACTATGAATTCAGTTTTGAAGGGCTCCACTTTTCAGTTTTGACTTGATTCTAGGTTACTATTGAATAGATAGATACACAGCTTACACTGTAAGTGGAAGAATGATCAGTGATTTCTTTTCCTAATGAATTCATCTTTCCAATTCCCTTGCATCAATTTCATCACACAAAAATCTCAAAATGTCCTCCAACTTGCTAAGTTGGAAAATATACAGTAAGTGACTTTTCAAATCCTTTTCTAAGAAGACGAAGTCAACCAACAATATCATTATTTCCCTCTAAAAACCAAATGCTGGAACTTGAGGTTACGAACTGGTCTTGCATTTTGTGACCAGGCACAACATAATGGCTTGTCTAAATGGGAAGCAATAGAAACACATATTGACAGTTCTTTTGGGGAGATGAAATGAGTCTCAAAGTAATATTTTGTACAACAAGAGCATGAAAGCGAAATTTGATTATACGCTGTGGTAATTAAATATGTAAAAAAAAATTCAAAGTTTTTCTTTTATATACATTTTCCTCATACATTCATTCAGAAATCAACCAATACGGCATCAGAAATGGACTCTACGGACAATTTCAGCCTAGGTCACCACTGAACGCACCCTTGGAACCCTCACGGATTGGAAGTTACACCCCTACGGACGCATATCACAAGCCAATACCCAGTCAACACATGTCACACCTTTCAAATCACCTCTCAGTTATGCTTATACACAGCTCACGGTATACACATAATTTCCCACACCTCTTTATCCCCACCGCATAAATTAGTTTGGTTTTATTTGTCACCTCATGCACTGCCTTTGCAGGCTGCGCAGTCTTGATTGAATTACTTTTCCCACAGTTTATTAATTTTCTCACCTCATTTATGACAACAGCTGGATTTTTCCCACAATTTATTGCCTCATTTGACAATTTCTCACATTATTTACGCACTGCAGCACAGCCTTTGACATTAATTGTACACAGCCTCACTGGTTAATTTCCCTCACTTGCATGATCAGACTAGCTAAATTCACTCATTTGTACCTACAGGCCAGCTAAAATCACTCCTTCTTGTCTGCCCTGGAGCCAAATTCCCTCACATTTGTCTATAAAAGGAGGCTCTCTTCCCCCCATTTGTTGTCTCCTCACTCATCTACTCATTCCTCATTCCAGTTCACTACTCATTCACTCAGTACATCACTTAGCAGTCAATCAATATACAACTCACCAGTTAAAAACAAGTATATAAGCCTTTCACCTGTTACATAACATAACAGTTTTATTTTATCAGCAATTACATATTCAACCTTTACTTTTCATAAAACAAAGTTTATACCGGAACCGACCAATCCTATCACGTTATTAAAACTTTCCAAGCTAAGCTTGGGGGTCTTGTTTCTGATAGTATAGAAGGGCAGAGTTTGCACCTCCATTTTTCCCCTTCTCAATTCAGCAAAAGGGTTTCACAACCACTTTTGAGTCTTACAACGCCTAGTATATAATGATGAACTACTTCTCCAACACATGAAAGTTTCCATAGCCAACTCCTATTGTCCTTGTAGGATCTTAACATATTTATGTGAATTCGGGATGTATCTGTCAACATCAGTTCTTACAATCCTTTGGAAATTTGCTGAAATCCGTAGACTGAGGAGACGTGTCTTGGCATGACCTGTGGTATATCAGAGGGGCAATATCTCCGTTGATGGTGATCGTCGTCTTTGGCAGTTAAGTTCGGGGACATTTGGATTAATTATTGTATGATTTTTGAATGAAGTGAGTGGAGAAGATCCAAAGGACTTTACTGACCCCATCCTTTGAAAATATATCAGGCAAACAGCAAGTACTGAAAGCCATCTCGGTGCCGATGCAATTGAAATAGGCCTTGTGATTTTCTGTTGAGTGTGCTTGGATCACTAGTGATTTGAACACATGGGACAAGGCAAGTTTTAACTTGAGGGCTGACTCCACGTATGTGTGTGATGAAAACGAAAATGAGATAGGTTTAGCACTGACATTCCCATCCGGTTGGATTTCCTTGGCTGTCACTGCCAATCGGTTTTGCGCATCCTCCAGCTGTTAACTTGACGTGATTGGCGCAAGTAAAAGTACACTTCGTTTTTTGCTCCGTTGTTAACTGTGCAGCTGCTGCAAACCCACAACCTACAATCGACACGATTATTACTAATTTTGAAAATTGCATGATGAGCTGGGGTAAAATACCAATCGTGTTTGAGCAGATGAGAGGAATTTGAAGTAGCTGTAAATTTAATTGCAGGACGCTTGGAAAAGCTGATGAGATTTGGGTTTATCTTAAGTGGGTCCAATTTGTGTCAAAGTTGGTGGTTATAAGCAACTTCGCTCATCGCGCCATTTACAGAACTCGATGCTGTCAGTCAATCCCAAGCTGGGGCGCAACAACTCAAGCAGAAGCGATGTATGAGGTCTCGAGGTGGCTGAAAGCGGCTTGTTGCTCAGGGCGTTTAGTACATAACGCATCAACGACCAAAAAAAACCTCTAGGTACAACCAATTTCAAGGGATACGTATCCAAAGGGTTCAAGAATGCATGTAAGCCATTCGTCAAATTGTTTTGCAGGGGTCAAGATGCCATGCAGACACTTCAAGGTCGACCAAATGGAGACTGTGATAGGGCACAAGGAAAAATGACGCATAGCATAAGGCATTGTAACTGGAAGACTTCCGACAAGGACCATGATGAGTCAATGTTGTCCAGACGACAATTACATCCATCCCAAATTGTCGTTTCCTATAGTACGTGGTTGAATTACCCGTGCAGTTTTCGCTCGTGTTACATACATTTCAAACAACAACAATAAATCTTAACCAAGTGCTGAAAGATTCTTATTCTTCATTGTAACTGGAAGACTTCCGACAAGGACCATGATGAGTCAATGTTGTCCAGACGACAATTACATCCATCCCAAATTGTCGTTTCCTATAGTACGTGGTTGAATTACCCGTGCAGTTTTCGCTCGTGTTACATACATTTCAAACAACAACAATAAATCTTAACCAAGTGCTGAAAGATTCTTATTCTTCTAGCAAAGTAGGGGGGAAGATAACAAGAAAGGGAATATCCAGTGCAATACGTATGGTGAAGAAATTACGCACTCATAACAATTCGACCTGTGGTGAATTTAAAACAAGCAATACGGTAAGTCTTAATCTCAATGAGCGATGAGGTAACAACCACGACTGACATAATTACTGGGCACGATCCCTTTCCGACCGTCTTTGATGATCTCAAACCATCCTTCTCCGTAAGCTTCGCCCCCTTTACTCAACGTCACCGTCTCACCCACTGACAATGAATGTTCGTCTGGAGCTTGAGCTGCCCAATCATATAGTGCTTTGGCTATCGATTGATTATCATTTGAAAAGAGGACAAGGAGTAAGTAAAGTTCTGAATTAAAATAAAAAAGTGGTGAAGAATTCGGTTTGAATGCCAGTGACTAACCTCGTCTTAATCTTGAAGGAACAGGTGTAGGTCCCGTGGCTGGTTCGGGTGGTGCAGAGGAAGGTGGAATAACAGCGTTGGTAGAAATAATTTGAACATAAGTAGCAGGTACTAAACCGATTTGGTTAGATGAAGTTTCAACTTTGATCCAACCCGATCCATCATCGGGGGAGATCACAGTTACAATTTCAGATTCTGTTGTTTCATCAATTGACATGCAAAGGGAGGAAAGCATAGAGTCAGTCATGACAGTCGACGAGTAAAAAATGATACCCTTTCCGAGTTGGATTGGATAAAAGAGAATCAGACTTACCAAGAGCGCTGACTTCGAAGCCAGTAGAAGCCTCATAACTGTAAATCATCCGGGCTTTCGGTTTAGGTTCAGTGCGGTTAAGCGCGTTTCGGCTACTGAGGGGTGCGGCCATCTTATTCACGGTTGTGGTAGACCGAGCAAGTCCTTCACCCCCGTTGGGTGCTGCTGACGGACGATGGCTGGTAGAAACTGCTCTAGATAGACCTGTTTGATTCTGCGGCTCTCGAGAGACGGAATCAACAGTCGCTTCTTTACGCACCAAGGAAATGACAATGCCAGGTAAGTTGTTTGACCCTTTAATGATATATCTATACCAGAGGAGAAGTTACCTACGTTGTCGAGTAACTGAAGTCGAAAGGGCGGCCAGAGAAGCATTTCGTCTAAGCCCATGTAGAGGCGCAGTTCCGGCGCAATTTGAAGGAACCTTGGGCCCACATTTAACATGAGCACTGATCGAGCATGCTTTGCACGTCACACCTTGCTTTGTAATTCCCCATATGTTGGAATTGCAAAGACAGCAAGAAGTAGGTGTGACAAAGCTTGCAGACTTGAAGGTGTGAGGTCTCTGAGAGCCCTGGTCATCCCCAAGAGTTTGTTCAAGTACTTCGACTTCCTTTGTCAGGACCGTGTACTGAAGTTCCAGGGTGATCGTCTGTCGGACACTTTCGAGTAAGTTTTCCACCACTTCATCTGTGTCGCCGAGTGAATCATTCTGACTATAGGCCTCTCTAAGATTCTCCAGCCCGGTGATTTCATGACGCTTGGCCGCTATCGTTGGTTCTAGATCGGCTGCCTTGGATCTAGCCTGGCCTAATCGGTTTTGTAGTAAGACTTTGGGCTCCGGTGCTGAAAGAGCGTATTCGGCAGAATCATGCCAGATTGGACAGGGTTCAAAGACGAAATCCGGAGGGTCGGTAAATGGTCGTCGGTTATATTCAATGTAAAGAGCCTGGTTGGATTGGGCATCGATAGTGTTGGTGGCAGCGAGAAAGTTCTCATTATGTGTACGAAGCTGATCCAGACATCTTAAGTTTAAGGTAGAGACGGTTTTTAAGAGGGAGACTAATTTCGAGGCTGCCAATGACCAAATAGACTGCGAAATGCATAATGATCAGTCAAGTGATCAGGTTTGCACAATTTGGGGATCAGATAAGATTGAATCGACCTAGACTTGAGTACACACCTGAAAATCGTCTTCTAGGCTTGGCAAATCAACATGATAGAATCTTTCTTTGACCTCGTTCGCGACTGAGATTGAAAGTAGGTATGCATTTTTAGCACTCAGCATGTCATTGGTATGGACGTCCATATTCTTGGCTGCTTTTTCAACATGTCGGTCGTCCTTTGCTTGACCTTGCTTGACTCTAGTCGATTCGACAAGGGAACACGCCTCATCATAACGCTGCTTAGCCTAGGAGAAAAAACCGGTGCATCCATGCGATATATGTAAGCGAATGTGTGAAAATCGACAGAAGGCTGATGCAGGGTAGAATGATAAAAATGTTGACCTTCGCTCTGTCGTGGTATATCTTATCTCGCTCAGCCAATAGTTTCACGCCAAATTCCACATGTCTCTTCCGCGTAGCCTCCTTCTTCTTCTCGCAATTTTTCAAGACTTCACAGACTTCGTTCTGCAAAGATTCGGCTAAATTGGTATGGTCCGACGCCTCCTCATCAGCTTCTGAAAGGATTTTTGACCATGCTGTATCCAAAGTGCTTGTATGAAGATAAGTACGGATTGCTTGGTCAGACCTGGATGAGAGCCAGTTATACGACTTTGGAATTATATGTTCATTTACCTGCTCGTTCCATTCCATGATTTACTAGTCTCTAGGCCGACTGATAAAGCTTCTTCCCGTTTAGTACGCTTTTCCATGGCTTTTCGGACTAGAAGCTAAAAAAAGCACACCGCTGTCAGACCTGTGTTGATTTACTTACTTGTATTTGATTTTCAGAAATTGGTATTTGAAATAAATACCTGAAGTGAAGCACCATATTGCCTTTCCAATGCTACTCTTTCCTTGAAGTAATCCCTGACATCGCCATAAAACGCTATTTGGTCGTGAACGACATTTTGGATTCGATTCAGCTGATCAGGTAAGTCACGACCAAAGGAAGGTGGTTGAGCGAGTGCCATATGTAGGTATTAGTTTGAGTTCTTCTGTTGTTTATTATTTGATGAGTTGGTGGAGGCTGGTCAGGTGGAAAGAGCTCTCGCCTGTGAATCGTCAAGTGGTGGAACAGGGACTCGGCCGGGGCGGGGATCGGGGAATGGGGGTTGTGGCCCCGAAAGACACATAGCTCCTCCGCAGCTCTGGCACTGCCCTGACGTTGTCATGCCCAGAAAAAGGTAGGAGGTGACTGGATTTCAAACAGCCCCCCGCCTAATATCTGCTATGGTGTCTATGCTTGTCAGCACTGAGAAAATTGCAATACTAAGCTTGGACCACCTCTGAGACAGTCATACATGTCTCATTGAGGAAGACAGACACTAGACAACTGACAACTACAACCACAAGTAGTGGCTGTGTTTGGACAGTGGAAAAACAACAATCCGGTGAGAAGGTTGAGGTATGAGATCATGAATATAATACATTCTTTGTTTTGTTTCAGGGTGGAATTCCACGTTAACATCAACGGTGCCACAGATACAATACACTGTGTGTATCATGGAGAATTCTGCAAAGCTGCATGGCCAAAAACCAAATATCTTGAATCTCCTTGCAGATAAAAGCATATTGGTCAGATAGTTTTTTTTATTGGGGCTCAGATCCATAGTGATACATGGCAGATACCGTATCTGTTTCAGCATTGTTAACATGTATGTACCACAAGTGCTGGCTGCACTTGGATACCGGAAGGGTAACCATTGACTCATCTTTCTGTCCATGCTAGTGAGAGGGTTTAGGGATAGAATTCTGTAAGTGGAGTGATACATGGCAGATACTGTATCTGTTTCAGATTTGATTGTGAATGTACAATCTTTGCTACTATGTTTCAAGGCAGAATGGCACACTGAAATGTATGTACCTGTGGATTTACTTTAGAGATGGTCGGTCCGCATCCAGATATCTGATGGCGATTTCAGCGAAATTGCACATCCGCATCCGCACCCGCACCGCTAGCGGGTATCCGTCGGCCGCAGCGGGTATCCTCGGATACCCGCCCTCTAAAGGGCCGGCAACGGACCGGCTGGAAGGGCTTCCTTCCAGCCGGCGAGGTACTTGTACCTTGTCGACTGGAAGG